TTCTCTCTCTCTCTCTCTCTCTCTCTCTCTCTCTCTCTCTCTCTCTCTCCTCTCCTCTCTCTCTCTCTCTCTCTCTCTCCTCTCTCTCTCTCTCTCTCCTCACTCTCACACACACACACACACACACACACACACACACACACACACACACACACACGGCAGAGGGGAGGGAGGAAGCTCAGTCATGTGTTTAGGAGCACTAGCTGCTCTTCCAGAGGACCTGGGTTCAATACCCAGTATCCTATGGTGTTTCACAACTGTCTGTAACTCTAATTCCAGAGGATCTGATGCCATGTTCTGGTCTCCTTGGGCAATAGGCATGCATGTGGTTCACATATATACTGTTGTGGGGTATCCACCAGAGAAGACTGCTTGTACATGGGTTTTAGCCAATAGAAACTCTCTATTTGCCTGCCAGCGACTACATTGGGTGTTTGGGATCCCAGTGTAGCCCTGAAACTTTCTCAGGGTAAGATTTTTAGGCACAAAAACTCTATCCTGAGCTGACATACTTCAGTTAACAAGAAAAGTTAACCAGATGTGGAACTACAGAGGCCAAAAAGCAAGGTCAGTATATTTAGAGACTTCCCCAGAACTATGGACTTTGATGGATTAGGTCTTTGTCTTTGTTTTGGCAGGTGGTGCTGTCTCAGTGCTGAGTTTTATGGCCTGAGTGGTACTCCCACCATGGAGTAGTTATGTTAAGGTCTGGGACCCTGACATACATATATGCAGGCAAAACAGGCATACATAGAAAATAGTAAAGCAAATCTAATTAAAAGATGGCCAGGCATGGTGGCAAATGTTTTTAATTTCAGCAGTTGGGAGGCAGAGGGAGGTGGATTTCTGTGAGTTCAAGACCACATGGTCTCAGTAAGTTCCAGGACAGTCAAGGCTACACAGGGAGACTTTGTCTCCAAAAAATATCCCCCAGAACCCCTTCAAAAAATGAGGTGCAAGACCAGCTTGTTTTTGGTGCCTAGAAAATTTAGAAAGTGTCAGTTATATGCGTGGGAGGTGTGGTCCATTTGTCCATTGTCTTTTCTGTGCTTTAGGCTGTTGCTACATCTGAACTGCAAAGATCCTGATGTCCTCCAGAGCTGTCTTCACGGTGGTAGCTTCCCTTCTTCACACCCTAATACCTCTGCTTGAAGTACTTACTTTTGCATTCTGTGGGGTGTGCAAATTCTCAGACCCTCTGGATACCCCCCTGATCTTACCCTATTCCAGGTAGGGCATCTTTTACTTTACAGGGAGTGTGGGAAGCAACTGCAACATCAGTATTGAGATGGATTACAGTACTGAAGTGGACACAGTAATGAGTAGATACAGTACTAAGTAGATACAGTACTGAGTAGATACTGTTATAGTTTAGTGGCTCTGAGAATGAATCACATTGAAGAACAAATCCATGTTAAAGTTTTATTGAAAGGGTTGGGGGAGAGAGGATGCAATCCCTCAAACCCATTGATTAATTATCCCTAGGGTAATAACCCTTAATTTTTTTCTATAGGTGATGATGGGTATTCTTCTGCAAAGGCACTGTGCAGGATCCTCCTCTCGTTCTGACCCTTACCCACAGGTTTTCCAGCAACATCCACAGGATGGCACTCAGGAAAGCCCTTCAAGACCTTCTTATTTGAGGTGTGGGGTATGCCTGTTAAGGCATGAATATAATGGTCTTTGTAGCCCAGAAAAACATGTTCAGGGAAGAGGAATCTAGAACATATTTTATTCTTTTATACATCTCAAATCACTTTCTCCTTATCACCAATTATGCTTTCCCATCTTCATATAAACAAACCTTAAAGCACCTGTTCCTTTCTCATCACCACGGCATCACCTTGACACTCAGGAGACACAGGTGGTTGATTGCTGAGGGCAGTCAACAGTAAAGAGTTACGTTGAAACTATTCTGTGAGTCTCCTTCTTGAGTCTGGGAGTGTGGATATCTCTGGGGTGTTGTTTCTTACCACCTGGGTACCTTTGATAGCCTTTAAACCTTCAGCTCTGTGACTAATGGGTGGTGGTCATACAACCACAGCCAGTTAGTTTAATTAGAGATTTTGAATGTCATTGGAGATACATGGAGAGAAAATTGATGAAGCAAGGTGTGATTAGTAGAGACAGGAGAACATGGAGAGGGGTCAGGAAGGAATGAATACGGGGTTCCCAATCCGGTAAAAATGAGTATGGTATGGGGTGAAACCTCATTCTTCTGGGAATTGGAGATAAGGCAGTTGATATCAGTGTCCTCTGAAACTTAAGGGAGCAGGGTCTTATTGGGGTTGATGTGTATGAAGAAAAATTATCTTGAGTGGGGATACAGGGCTTGAGGTGGATAAGTGAATCCAATGAGGGAGGCCCTCAAGCTTAGCAGCTGTGGGGGTTACAAGAATTACCTCGAAGGTGCCCTGCCATTTAGGGGAAAGGTGCTGTGGGATATCTTTCTGTATACTGTGAATATGTGTTGCTCCCATTGGTTAATAAAAGAAGCTGCATTGGCTTATGGCAGGGTAGGATGGAGCCAGGTGGGAAATCAGAGAGAGAGAGAGAGAGAGAGAGAGAGAGAGGAGAGAGAGAGAGAGAGAGAGAGAAGAAAGTCAGGGCAGATGCTGTAAGCCACCACCAAGAGAAACAAGGTGTGAGAGAACAGGTAATGCCATGAAGCCATATGGCAAAACATAGATTAATAGGAATGGGCTAAGTTATAAGAGCTAGCTAGCAAGAAGCCTGAGCCATAGACCAAACAGTTTGTAATTAATATAAGCCTCTGTGTGTTTATTTGGGACTGAACAGCTGTGGGATTGGGTGGGACAGAAACTTATCCCAAAATTTGGTGCCCATGTGATTCCCATCAAAATTCCAACACAATTCTTTTTTTTTTTTTTTTTTTTTTTTTTGGTTTTCGGAGACAGGGTTTCTCTGTAGCTTTGGAGCCTGTCCTGGAACTCGCTTTGTAGACCAGGCTGGCCTTGAACTCACAGAGTTCCTCCTGGCTCTGCCTCCCAAGTGCTGGGATTAAAGGCGTGTGCCACCACCGCCTGGCCCAACACAATTCTTATAGACATTGAAAGAATAGCACTCAACTTACTATGGAAAAACAAAAAAACTCAGGATAGCAAAAACAATCCTGTACAATAAAAGAACTTCTGACGGTATCACCATTTGTGATTTCAAGCAGTACTACAGAGCTGTAGTAATAAAAACCTCATGGAATTTGCATAAAAACAGACAGGTTGATCAATGGAATCAAACTGAAGAACCAGATATAAATCCACACACCTCTGGACACTTTTTTTTAAAAATAAAGAAGTCAGGAATTATACAGTGGAAAAAAAGAAGGCATCTTCAACAAATGGGTGTTGGTCTAACTGGATATCAGCATGTAGAAGAATGTAAATAGATCCATATCTATTACCTTGTACAAAACTCAAGTCCAAGTGGATCAAGGGTTTTGGCATAAAACCAGATACACTGAACCTAATAGAAGAGAAAGTGGGGAAAACATTGGCACAGGAGACAACTTCCTGAACAGAACACCAATAGCACAGGCACTAAGATCAACAATTAATCAATGGGACCTCGTGATATTGAAAAGCTTCTGTAAGGCAAAAGACAGCATCACGGACAAAATGGCAGCCCACAGAATGGGAAAAGATCTTTGCCAACCCCACATCTGACAGAAGTGTTAATAACCAAAATACACAAGGAACTCAAGAAACTAGATGTTAACAAATCAAATAATTCAATTGAAAAATAGGGTACAGATCTAAACCGAGAATTCTCAACAGAAGAATCTCAAATGGCCAAGAATCACTTGAAGAAATGTTCAACATCCTTAGCCATCAGGGAAATGCAAATCAAAATGATTCTGAGATTCCATCTTATACCTGTCAGAATGGCTTAGATCAAAAACACTAGTGACAGCTTACATTGGAGAGGATGTGGATAAAGGGAACACTCCTCCATTGCTGATAGGAGTGCAAATTTGTACAGCCACTTTGGAAATCAATATGACAGTTTCTCAGAAAACTGGGAATCAATCTACCTCAAGACCTAGCTATACCACTCCTGGGTGTATACCCAAAAGATACTCCATCCTACCACAAAAATGCTAGTTAAACTATGTTCATAGCAGTTTTATTCATAATACTCAGAAACTCTTGAACAACCTAGATATCCCTTAACTGAAGAATGGATTAAAAAATGTGATACATTTACACAATGGAGTATTACTCACCTGTTAAAAAAATAATATCGTGAAATTTGAAGGCAAATGGATGGAACTAGAAAAAATCATCTTGTGTGAGGTAACCCAGACCCAGAAAGACAAACAGGGTCTCTACTCAACTTATTAGTGGGTATCAGCTGTAAAGTAAAAGATAATCATGCTAAGGTTCACAGGACCCAGAGAGGCAAAGTGACAAGTAGAGCTCAACCAGGGGATTTATGAATCTCCTGGGAAGGAGAAATAGAATAGATATGTTGGGTGGACTGGGGGTGGGTGGGAAAGGAGGAGGGATCAGGTGGGGGAGGATGAAGGGAAAGAGTACTGAGAGAGACAACTGGAATGGGGGGGGGCAATTCAGGGGCAACGTAGAAACCTAGTGCAACAGAAACTCCCAGGAATCTAAGAGAATGACCCTAGCTAAGACTCCTAGTAATGGGGGAAACAGAGCCTGAACTGGCCATCTCCTATAACCAGGCAAGACTTCCATTGGAGGGATTGGGACACCAACCCAGCCACAAAACCTTCGACCTACAATTTGTCCTGCCAGCAAGATGTGCTGGGGTAAAGGTGGCACAGAAATTGTGGGAATGGTCAACCAATGACTGGTCCAGTGAGACTCATGCCATGAGAGGGAGCCCACCCCTGACACTCTTGGGGAACCAGAAACTAGAGGCTGGATGGCCCAGAGATCTAAGATAGAACCAAAAGTGCCCTTAAAAAAGTAAATGAAATGATTCCTAATGATATTCTGTATGTTTGTAAACAGGAGCCTGGCATAGTCACCATCAGAGAGGCTCCATCCAGCAACTGATGGAAACAGATGCAGATACCCACAGCTAAACATTCAGTGGAACTTGGTGAATCCTGTGGAAGAAGGGGAGGAAGGATTGTAGGAGCCGGAAGGAACAAGGACACCACAAGAAACCCACAGAACCAACAAACCTAGACTCATAGATATTGAAACGACAATCAGGGAGCCTGCATGGGTCTAACCTACACCCTCTGCATATATGTTTTAGTTGTATAGCTTGATGTTTTTGTGGGGACTCCTAACAGGGGGAGTGGGGGCTGTTTCTGATGCTTTTGTCAGCTTTTGGGACCCTTTCCTCCTACTGAATTGCTTCATCCAGCCTTAATATGATGGGAGGTACCTAGTCTTATTGCAACTTGATATACCATGTTTGGTTGATATCCCTGGGAGGCCTGCCCTTTCTTGAAGGGAAATGGAGGAATGGATTGGGAAGAAGGAGGGAGGCACTGAGAGGGAGAGAAGGGAGGGGAAACGCGAGTACAGATGTAATATATGAGAGAATGAATTAATAATAAATGTGGGTCTTCTTTTCTCCATTAAGCCTCTGTGAAATCATCTTCACAGACACACCCAGAGATACACTTCTTTCTGTGGTGATAATAAATCCAGGCAATTTGACGATGAAGAGACACCATCATGGTGCCCAACTGGATTTATTGCGGGAAAGGCAAGTGTGTTAGTCGCTCTCCTCACTGCTGTGGTAAGATACCCAAGTAAGTACTTTAAGGACACTATGTACTCACTGTAGGGAGAGGGATGGAATTGTGTCTAGTTTTAGCTACTCTGAGTGAAACCTACCCCCAAAGAGTAATAAATAAAACAAAACAAAACCCCAACTACGACCAGGTGACACCAGATCTGATGAAGTACTGGAGTGTGATAAGTGGGTCTGACATTTGTAGCTTTTCCAGCTGAGAGCCATGTGGCTCACTAATTGAGGAACTCCCCAAGAACAGGGAAGGGATTGGCTGCAGGGCAGCTGGAGGGGATGACTGGAGCCTATCCTGTCTGGGTCCAGGAACAGAACCTCATTCAGGAGGAATGCAGCAGGGCTGATGACTAGCAAACACCTCAGTGTTTTGTCCTCCCAAAGAAGGAATGGAAGGTTCCAGAAGGACATGTTGAAGATAACAGCATTCCTTACTTTTTTATTCCATGGGTTTAATTTAATTAGATGAAATTTACTCTTCTGGCAGTGGATTTTCCTGTGAGTTCATAATAAATGCATAGAAAATTATATATGAACAGGGTGTAGTGGCATACACCTTGAATCCCAGCACTCAGGAGACAGAAGCAGGTGGATTTCTGTGAGTTCTGATCTATATAGTGAGTTCCAGGACAAACAGAGCTGCATAGTGAGACTCTGTCTCAAAAGTAAAAGTAAGGAAAGAAAATTAAATATGAAAAATTATTAATCCCATAATTTGGCAGATGTGTTTTACAGATGTGTACAGATATGTTGCAAAAGGCTCTCTATGTCTCAGTTGTGAAAGGTATTTGCACCTTTCACAACATTTCAGCACATAATATTGAACTAAAATGTGGAATGAGGGCTCAGGATATGATTTAAATAGTAAGAGCTCTGGCTGTCAGACATGAGGGAGGACCTGAGTTCAAATCTTCAGCTCTGTGGAGGGCAGAGACAAGAGAATTGCTGGGGCTTGCTGGCTGCCAGCCTAGATCCAAGTTCAGTGAGAGATTCTGTCTCAAGGGAATAAGGTGGAGAATGATAGCACAGGATACTTGTAGATGTAACTGTCTTGTTAAATAAGAAACACAGAGCCAATGCAGAGATGAAAGCCCAAGAGGTCAGAGGATTAGCTAAGCACTAAAAACCTTTCCCTTCACTGCCGCTGCTGTCCTCCTCAGCAAGTGCACTACTTCCTGTGTATCTGTCTTTATATAGACTTTCTGTTCTGCCTTCTCATTGGTTGTAAACCCAACCAAAGGACCTCCTCGTCACTGCCCATCTATACAGACCTCCAGGTCTTCTATGGTTGGTATTGAGATTAAAGGCGTGTGTCTCCATGTTGGCTGTATCCTTGAACACACAGAGATCTGCCCAGCTCTGCCTCCCAAGTGCTGGGATTAAAGGCGTGCAACACTACCGCCCAGCTTCTGCTATGGCTTGCTATTAGCTCTGACCCCAGGCAACTTTATTTATTAACATACAAATAAAATCACATTTCAGTACAAATAAAATATCACCATAGATACTGGACATTCTCCCCTGGCCTCTGGACATGTGGGGTAGGCATTTGTCCTTATACACACGTGTGCATACCTTCTACCCAATATGGCATTGAATAAGAGAGATATGCGCTTGACGTTCTGATAGAAGAAGCCACTGGATGATCTCTAGTATGGCATTTGGGCAATATAAACATATTTTGGTACACACCATTTCCAATTTGATGGTGATCACCTATTCAAAAGTATAGAAATAAGGAAAGGAAAAGATGTTTGTAGAAGTTATTAAAATGTGGATGCAAATATTAGAATAACCTGGAAAAATAAAATTACAATTTCTCGGACATATGACTGAGAGGCTCAGAGTTGGGACAAGAACCAATGTTTATGAAGAGTGTTGCTGATCTCTGAAGTGGTGTGTGTTCATTTCTTCGATTAAAGAATGAACCAGGCCGGGCGGTGGTGGCGCACGCCTTTAATCCCAGCACTCGGGAGGCAGAGGCAGGCGGATCTCTGTGAGTTCGAGGCCAGCCTGGTCTACGGCGCGAGATCCAGGAAAGGCGCAAAGCTACGCAGAGAAACCCTGTCTCGAAAAACAAAAAAAAAAAACAACAAAAAAAAAAAGAATGAACCAGAAGCGGGTGGAATGAGGGCCTGTGGAGGCACCTGCCATACAAGAGCTTTGGAGATGTGGTGGACCTGGGAGAATGGTTTGAGAGATGGGAGAATAGCAATTTCAGGTGTAGCTAAATGGGACCATTTAGCTGGCCATTGTGGTCTTGCTTTCTCCTTGAAGCAGCCAGAGAAGTTCTGTTTTTCATGTTCTGGAAACACTTGGAGTCCATTTCCCTCTGTCAATCTCCAAGACTTTTCTCTGGGAGATGGGGCGGGGGGGGGGGGGTAGGGGGGTAGGGGGGGAAGGTCTTGTGTTTCTGAGTGTGTTTAGAGCACACCACAGCCCCACATCTGTGCAGATGTGTTGTGCAGGTTGAGGACGGTGCTCTCTAAATCCCAGGGCAAATCCAAGGCTGGTGGAAGATGGGCAGGGAAGGCATGGTGGCAGAGCCTGAGGTGGCTGGTCACACTGCATCCACAGTCAGGAAGCAGAGAGAGTGGAACACTGTTGGTACTCATACCGCAGCCCAGGGAGAGTGCCACCCACACCCAGGGTAGATCTTCCCTCCTGAGTCGAAGCTCCCTGAAATGCCCAGAGGTTTGTTTCCCAGTTTTAACATTAAGAAATATGGCTCTTTTCTCAAAGGAGAAAAGAGACAGTTTATTCTGGAGGCCAACATGAGTGACCACGGCCCAGGAACACAGACTTGAGGTACCCCAGATTTCATGTACTGATGTGGCAACAGTTTGATGTAGGTTTTACAGTAACAGAACAAAGAAAGCCACCAATCAAGACACTTTCATGAGTTAAAGCACAGTGGGGAAATCTCTGCTGCAAGCCTTGGATACTATCTGATGATATTCTTAGCCTTTTGATTGGTATACATAATGGTGTGTTAGGTTAGAAAGAATGGTGTGTTAGGTTAATGTATTTTAGAAGGTTTTTTGTGTTTTTACTTTTACTTGTTAGTCACAAAGATGTTAGGTCAGACACAGGGTGGGCACATAATGACTATTAAAGAAGGCAAAGACAGCCCCAAGGTAAATTGTAGCTAAATTCTTGACTAGCAACATTCCAACTTCTCATAATCAGTTAATCAGCCTTGTAGAAGGTACTTGGAAGGTTTAGCGTCTTTGGTTTTTCTTTTTCTTTTTTTGACCTATATGACAACATCAAATGCTTTATTGAGGGAGGTGAAGTTTGGGAGTTAAATACTATCTATTTTTGAAATAGGATCTCTCACTACGTAGCCTAGGCTATCTTGGAAATTGCTGTGTAGCCAAGACTAGCTTAGAAATCAACAGCAGTCTTTTCCTTGGCTCCTCGGCTTCCCAAGCAGAGACAATAGGCTCATACCACCAGGCTAAATTGCAATTCTTGACTGCTCCTGGCAGTCATTGTATGGCTGCTGCAGTGCTCCCCGGGCCTGGGCCCAGTGCTGCTGCCACTGGGGCAGGGACAGGCCCTGGCAGAGCTCCCCAGAGAGGGCAGCTTGGCCTGGCTGCTCCCACCAGTCCCCAACAAACACTTACAGCTTGGGGGTTCGGTCCAGGGCCTGTTCCATCAGGTCCTCCAGCTTCTTCAGGGACTGCTCCATAGCCTCGTTCTGCTCCTTTTCTTGAGTTTTTCTAAATCAAGTTGACAAGATTAGCCAGCATTTGGGAGGTGAAGACAGGAAGATCTCTGTGAGTTCAAGGTCAGCATGGCCTACATAGTGAGGTTGAGATGCCTGGGATACATAGTGAGACCCTGTCTCAAAACAAAACAATCAACAATGATCAATACCAACAACAAATGCCGACCACAACACCAAAGCAAACCAGAAAGAATGTCACAGTTTATCTTCAGTGTTTAGGCCACTGATCATTCTGAGTTAGGTTATGTGTGTGGTTAGCGTCTGAGTGACACAGAGGATTCCTCATTTGACTTCTGCTGCTGTAGCATGATCCTGACCAGATGCCCCGTCCCGCGGGCCAGGTTATTTGATGAGACCCGAGGAGGCACCTTCTGAAAGATCAATGGGGGCGAGAGAGAAAGGAGACCAGGCGCATAAAAGAAGACAGAGTCAGTCTGAGTCGCGTCGAGGTCTCGTTTATTGACTGGGTATTGAGGCTTATAAGCAGGGCTTCAGGCAGGGAGGGGGAGCAGGGGAAGCAGGGAGAGAGAAAATTCCTAAGGGAGGGGTCAGGGCGAGGTCGCTTTGATCCCAGGCCCCCTGCAGCTGACAGGCTCCAGAAAGTTTATCTAATCTTATATCCTGCAGTTAGGCCAGGAACCTTCTGTCAAGGCTTGACAAAGTCCAGGACACAGCTGTCCAGAGTCGGTCCCCAACAACCAGAGACCTCTGAGCATCATCTCTAGTCTACAGAGCCTACTTTACCCAATAGACACAGGCTGGGGACATTGAGGGGATACCAGGGGGTAGTATAGAGACCTGTCTTTCTTGTTCACTGAGTATCCCACCATCCATGAAACAGTCCACACACTGCCTGCGACAGATGAAGGAGCTGACCCCCTGCCTTACCAGTTGCACTCAGGAAAGCAGGGCCTGTTCCTTGCCTGGGCAGCACAGTAGAGCTGGCCCTGATGGTGTAGGTGCAGGACAGCTGATCCCGAGGGTGTGAAAGCTGGAGAAGTGGCCCTGCCTCTTGCTCATTGCTGCAAGTAGTAAACTAGCCAGGGTAATGCTGGAGAACTCACTCTGGTGGTGAGGACA